CCGGGATACATTTTGAACCTCAAATTTTTTTTTGTGATCTGGTATATTGTTTTTGATTTTGGGACATTTCCGTATTTAGATCATCCCTTGTTTGTGAAGATTTAGGGCTGTGTATTTTCCAGTCTAGAGGCTCTATTTTTTGTGGTTTAATTGAAAAATTTTTTTCAAAGATTTAAAAGCTGTTTTTGAGTGTGAGTTTTCATCAGAGCGGGCCCCCTGGTTTTATTACTGCAACAATATTTTGGGTATATTCCCCAAATTTTAGGTGCCTTAAGTTTAAAACCCCCAGGGCCCAAGTTTGGGTTTGCAAAAAAAAAACTGGCAATTTTCCGACAGTGGTTTTTTTTTTTTAACGCTGTTTCCCGGAATTTCTGGGGTGTTGATCCGGAGGCTTGTTTGACTACCACAATTTTCAGGTTTTGGGTTTTCCCATCTTTACTGCTAAAACTTCCACTCATCAATTTAGGCTTTTGCAGTTCCCGGCACACAAGTGATCTTTAAAGGGACAGGGCCCAACCCCCCCCCCCCCTTTTTCCTGTTCCCCTCTGTCCCCCATCTGAAAAGGTTGTAACCTTTGGGTCCATATTTCGGGTTTTTCCAATGATCCTTTATGGGTTTTCCCCAGTGGAAAACGCGAACATTGCCTTTGCCTCTGCAAGCAGTCCAAAGGATGAAAGGTTTTTTTGTTTTTTTGTTTTGGCTTTTGACCCTTTTATAATTTTCAAAGAAAATGTAAACGGCTGGTGGATTGTTGGTACTGGGTGGGGGGTTTTGGGATTGTATCTGTATCTGTTGGTTTTTTATTTGGGGGCCCCCACGGGGGTTCCACTCCAGGAAGACGGATTTTATTTTACGATTTCTGAATTTCCTGCCAGTTTTTTTTTCTTCCTGGCCTAAAAAAAACCCCTCCCTCTTGAGTGGCTGTGGGGTTCCCAGGTTTTCCCCTTTGGGCCCGGATGTTTTGTATCTTTTTTTTCCCTTTGTGGGGGTGCCTTTAAATTGGGTTTTCCCGTCTTTTGTACTGAAGAGGGGGCACATTTCAGGGTGAAAAAGCTTTCAGGAAGGGAGTTTGCATTTTCCCCGGGTCAAATGGGCACAACATTTTCTAGGGGGGCAAAGTTGCACGTCCCATCTGTTTTCCAGATTTCCCAGCCTGCAGATTTCCCAAATGCATAGTAAAAGTGCACAGGCTTTGGGTTTTCCCTTTTCCTTGGATTTTGTGCACTATTCCCCTTTTTGGGGCATGTTTTTCCTTGGGGGTTTTTTACTTTTATTCCCTGTTGGTCGTTTTTCCTGCTTTTTCCCGTTCCCTAGAACCCCCCCAACCCAAAGGAGCTCCCCAAAAGTTTTTTTTGGTAAAAATATCCTCACTATTGCTAGTGGAGTCCTTTTTGTTTGCTATTTCCGTTGGGAATTTTTAGTTTTAAAAATTGGATTTTTTCTTATCTTTTGAAAAACCATTTATTCCCCCCACGGGTCCTGTCCCCATGGGGGTCATTTAATCTTTTTCCAAACCTGGTACAATTCCCACTACCTGGGAAAAAAACTCCCCTTTACCATTACTTTTCCCAGGGGCAGCACCTCCAGCTTCACCATTACTGTCAAACCCGGGGGACAAATATCAGCCCCACATTTTTTGACAACCCGGACATCACCCCCCAGCCCTTTCAGTTTCTGTTTTACGACCAGCATCAAGGGGAGTACCAACCAGCCCAGACTTTGGTTTTTGTTCCCATCTGTTGTAGGGAAAACTTCCAGGGTTTTCCCATGAAAGCAGCTTGATGTTAACCTTTTTAGTAACCCAAGTTATTTAGTTACAGATTTTTCTCATTTTGGGCCCTACCCCAAAAAAACTTCCCTGTTTTTAAAAACTTCTTTAGCTGTTCTTTGGGTTTTGCAACAAGGGGCGACACCCAAATTTTTCCCAAAAAATGACAATTTTTCCATGTTTAAAACCCTTTGTTTGATTGATTGCCGACCCACACAGGGCTTATAAAAGATTTGGGAAAGGTTGAATTCCCGTAATTTTTTACTAGCAACCTCTTGAATAAAATCTAAATATTTGTATTTCTATTTTAATGGGGCTTGAATTTTTAAGGGCAGTTCCCGGGGTTTCGCCCTGTTTTTTTAATTTTTTGTTTGGGGTTTTTAAGGAAAGCCTACAACCCCATCCGTTTACAGTCTGCTTTATTGTCCAACGAAACCGTTTGAAATCGGTCGAGGGTTCGGACCAGTCGAGGGTTCGGAACCAGTCTGATTTGATCAGTGGGTCACTTATTTAAAACATACTGGTCGGTGATTTGGGCTAACACATGAAGGATCTACTGGAAGTTATCCACCCGAGTAATATGTGAGGCTCTAGAATTTACGCATATAAGTATGTGACTAACCCTGGCTGTTAAGATGTATATGTATGTGACTGACCCTCAAAGGGGTAATCATTAGTTAAAGTATTATTAAGTATATGTACAGTATTAATTGTAGCCTGATGACAGATGGATTCCTTAATTTGATTTTATAACACCATTAATATAAATTAATATACAGCCTCTCCTCACTTAGTGATGTACTCGTTTACCGACCACTCAGACTTACTACCAGCTCTCCAACCAATATGCAAACCTAAGAAATACATGTAAGAGCTGATTTCTTGTATTCTGTTTATTAGGAATATACAGTACACTACTGTATAAACATTTAAAAATGTACTAAAAATGTTATAAATGGCACAAAATTGACATTAAAAAAATATCTGAAGACGGTTGGCACCAACACACTATGTACCAGCACAGTATGCTCCTCGCTTAACGACCAGTTCACTTAATGACCTACTCTTAGGAATGGATCCCTGTTAAGTGAGGAGAGGCTGTATCTAGTGCATTTTCAGGGATAAAAATTTTATCTCCAGATACAAAACCATTACCTACACAGTAGTTATAAATAGAAATATAGCCTGTAAATATTATGTTAGTAATGTGTATTATTGCAAAATAAATGTTACTATGGGAACATTGAAGGAGTGTGCACCTTGCCACCAGGAGGTGTGGGGTGTCAGCCATGCAGGAGTGAGATTTCAAAATGGTTGTGCATTGCATAGTTCATGCCATGATAAATAATGACATAGTTTAATCTTTTGTGAAAAATCACAGACAATATAACACCTGTCAAATGATGTAACTTGCTGTACATGAGTCAGCAGAGTAAATTGGTTCTGTTAGGTTGTGCATGGGTCACAGCAAGATATATGACAATATTTTCCTTATTCTGCACATGATCTCAGACAATATCCCTCTGTAATCTGGAAGGTTTTGAACCATCAGTAACTTGTTGCTAAACTCTACATTTATTAGCAGTACGTCATCTTCTGAATTCTGACCCATCCCTCATCAACATTTCATCATTATCACTGCCCTCACAGAGTCAGAAGTCCCCAACTTGGTACAGGTGTTTGCTAGAAGATAAGAAAGCTCTTTAGTCTAGGAATACCTAGTGGCTAGGGTTGGCATTACTCTGCTTGACTTCAAGCCCAAAAAATGTAAGTACTGATATTTAGTACAGTATGTAGTTCTTCATATTTTTCATTGTGTGAGCATTTTTGCCTGTACATGAAATCATAAGTTCTAAGCCCTAATTATTAGAGTAATCAGTGTCCCAGTCTATGTCCTCTCTATATACAGTCCACATTTAAACAATTCCACTTTTTGTCCAGTAAATGATTTGAACCTTTGCCTTATTGCTATGACACATTGTGGAGATAAATGGTATAAAATACCGACACAATGGAAATATAAACACAAATGCAGTATAATGTGATCCTTTAAAGGATCACATTATACTGCATTTGTGTTTATATTTCCACACATTGTGGAGATAGAAATTTCCTTACTTTTCATACATAATATAAGATCTGTGATTGGCTATGTACTTCCAGGGGTCAGTCTTGAAGAAAAAAACAATGAGAGAGAACCCATCAGTTACCATAAATCCTTCAGAGTTCAATATAAATATGAATCTGCCCTTCTAAGTAATAATTCCCAACAGCCATGTCATGGGAATTCCTTCTCATCAGATTTGGCATAATTTTTGTACACCTACTTTAGCTCACATTCTCTCAAATACACTTAATGCCTTTTAGTCCTTCCTATTCAGACTTTACCAACTTTTTTAATTAAATTTAATTGAGCATTCTTTCATTCAAAATATAAACACCTTTTTTGTTTATATATTCTGTACTAGTATATCCATGCACGTTCAAATAACTCATCTTTGAGTTTTCCTTTTTCTTTTTTAGTAATTAATTGCAAGAATAAGAGGAAACCAGCTTTTTCATTCAGACATTTTATTCACTTTTGACATGCACAGCAACTGGGGAGGGCAGTGTTATTTTATTTGTCAGGAGAAATTTTTTATTTATGCTTGTCTCAGTCATATGATGACACTCTCAATAGGCCATTTGACTGAGCGCTTTCACTTGCTTGTCTACCCCATACAAAATTAATGATCACATCATATGATAGTTTTTTCCACCCAAATAAACAATGAATTACTGCACAGTAGCATCCAGGAATTGGGGAAGAATTCTGTCCCACTTTCCCATGTTAATGGAAAGGGAACATTACAGGATTACAAAATAATGTAATGAACACAAAGTACATACTGATTAAAAGTATATGTAGGTAAGATTTGCCAGTCATATTGATGTTCATGTAACAAATAAAAGGCAAATAATTTGGGTAAAGTGCAGAACATTTCCTAGGGATCCTTTTCTTCTTGTTTGTATGACCGAAAATTAGTACTTCATTAAATGGCTGTTGTTTGTCATTCTACTGTCTACAGTACTGTATATGTACAGAAGTGTGTATGTATGAGTAGCCTGTTAGTTACAGTTTTGGAAAGCCAGGAACTAATCACTTACTGTATAATTGGAAAATAATATATCATTTATATTAATACAGTACTGTACTTTATTTGTAAAAAAACAAATATGTTTTTTTTTACAGGTTACCTTCAGAAAGCATTAGATGATCTAGAAGAAGCTCTTAAATTGGCACCAGATAATCTTGAGTTCTTAGAGGGTTTAAAAAACTGCAAGGCTATACTACTTACAAAAGGTTTGTACATGTATCATTACTGTCTTAATATGGTATTAACAGACAGTTGTCTCAGTTTTGTATAGCAAATAGGTGTTTTAGTTTTATTTCACTCTTCAAATGTAGAGAGAATTATTTTTTCATTTGCACAGCAATGTTTGAGGATGCTTGTGGAAAAATGGGTGTTGACTTGTAACTCCTAGGTCTGCTATGTGTCTTGTACAGTGGACCCTCGACTAACGATATTAATTGGTACCCGAGAACGAATATCGTTAGTCGAGTTTTTTTATCGTTAGTTGAGGCAACATGTTAGCGTTAACATGTATCTTTAGTCGAATTTAACGTTAGACAATGCCATCGTTGGTCGAGGGTCCACTGTATTTTGATCACACAGCAACTGAAATACGTGTACTTTTCTAACTAGTTCTTCCTACCAAAGCAGAATGAACCCAAAGAGGGAACCACATTTACCAGTGAAATTGTTTTATTTACTATGAAGAAATGGTAAAAGAGAGAATATATAAGCTGTGGAATGTTAGATATAAGGGGACATAGATTAAAGATAAATTTAACAATAGTTGTTTTAATTATTCAGTAATAAAATGTGTATTTTCCAGGTTAGTTATACGTGTAATGTTAAAAGTAATGATCAGTATTGGTGACCGACTTCAAGAGGTATTCTCTCAAAGCTCATCTTGAGACCAGACTTTGTTAACTTCCTGGTCACCCAGGCTATTACTGCTAGGTGGCCTGCAGGCCAACATAGCCACAGAACTTGGCTAATCTGACACTGTACCTGTTTAAAGTGCGTGAAAAAATTCTGTACAGTATTTACCGTGACATTTCGTTTTCAGAATATTTATAGTAACTTGAAATATATGCAAATTAGATGACTGATAACTTTTTTTAAGTATTTGTTACATTCCACTTTTAAATCTGTACTGTATATTAAAAAAAAACTCATAATACGAACCTGACTAGACTCTGCTGATTCAAAACTGGTCAGACTGAGCCCCAATAAAAAGCTGAAGCTACAGTTTTTGATACTTCTTAATTGGCTGAATTTTTTTTTTTTTCAACGTACCGGCTGTCTCCCATCAAAACAGGGTGACCCAAAAAAGAAGCTCTTTAACTATCATTCAACACTCTCACCATCATTCACACATAATCACTGTCCTTGCAGAGGTGCCCAAATATGACAGTTTAGATGTCACTCCAAACAGCCAATATCCCAAACCCTTCCTTTAAAGTGCAAGCATTGTACTTCCCACCTCCAGGACTCAAGTCCAGCTAACTGGTTTCATTGAATCTCTTCACAAAATATTACCCTGCTCACACTCCAACAGCTTGTCAAGTCTCAAAAACCATTATATTATATTAAATTTTAATTTATTATCTGCTAGCAGACCTAGGAACTTATCCTCATCCCTTTACTCTACAGTACTTTTGATTTACTAATTATGATATCTGATTGTGGACATGTTTTTTTCCCAAAAGTTATATTGAATGCTTTTTTCTTTATTAAGGGCAAGTATATTTGCTATCATCCAAGTGTAACTGTTTTGTAGTTCATCATTAACTGTAGCTTTGAAAGTTTTAGGGTTCAGATCATGATAAAATGTCTTAGGGCTCAGAGCATGATAAGATGTAGACTGTGTCATCAGCAATAGCTATTAGCTAAAGATTATAGGTGACATTTGATGAGTCACTGATACAGAGCTATGATCAAGAGTGTTATCTAGTAATTTTTCTATCGTTTGCTTTTGCCAGTTGTTGTAGCACTTTCTACCTTCTTTATTATAACATTGTTCTACCAGTTTGTGAAGAATTTTGTAGTATCATTTCTGTCTTCTCTTCCTTATTTACAACCACATCCTCCTCCTCTGCATATGGATTGTGTTAAGATATATTTCTTATCCATAAGATAGATTCTTTAACATACATTGTGTTTTGTTTATATACTTATACTTTGTTATTCAAGTGCAGCTGTAATTAAGGCAGTAATGTTATCCATAATACATGCAGAAATTGAAACAGTTAGGAACAATCCTTGCATAGAAAATGTCTATTGCTGCACTGTATATTCATGATGTATAAACTAGATATGTAGATGAATAAGATAGGTGTTCAACACTTGGGTATCATCATTGATTTTGATGACTCTCCCCAACAGAATAATCAAGGCTGAGGGACTGATCACCTCGAACTGCTACTTCATATCTTCCACCATCTTTATTATTATTCTCTGTATTGGACTGATAGAGCCACTTGTTGGTGAACTGCCTCCATAATAAAGATACACACATGTTGCACATGTGTCTTATTTATCTGTGCCTAGTGCTGCTAGATAGCTGTTTTGTACTGAAAAACTTCAGCTTTTGATGCTTAATGATGCTGTATGACCCACACAGGTGGAGCACTTCACTTTTACATAATATTGCCAGTGATTTTCTTCTACACTTATTTTTTTATTTTTTATTATCACACTGGCCGATTCCCACCAAGGCAGGGTGGCCCGAAAAAGAAAAACTTTCACCATCATTCGCTCCATCACTGTCTTGCCAGAAGGGTGCTTTACACTACAGTTTTTAAACTGCAACATTAACACCCCTCCTTCAGAGTGCAGGCACTGTACTTCCCATCTCCAGGACTCAAGTCCGGCCTGCCGGTTTCCCTGAATCCCTTCATAAATGTTCCTTTGCTCACACTCCAACAGCACGTCAAGTATTAAAAACCATTTGTCTCCATTCACTCCTATCAAACACGCTCACACATACCTGCTGGAAGTCCAAGCCCCTCGCACACAAAACCTCCTTTACCCCCTCCCTCCAACCCTTCCTAGGCCGACCCCTACCCCGCCTTCCTTCCACTACAGACTGATACACTCTTGAAGTCATTCTGTTTCGCTCCATTCTCTCTACATGTCCGAACCACCTCAACAACCCTTCCTCAGCCCTCTGGACAACAGTTTTGGTAATCCCGCACCTCCTCCTAACTTCCAAACTACGAATTCTCTGTATTATATTCACACCACACATTGCCCTCAGACATGACATCTCCACTGCCTCCAGCCTTCTCCTCGCTGCAACATTCATCACCCACGCTTCACACCCATATAAGAGCGTTGGTAAAACTATACTCTCATACATTCCCCTCTTTGCCTCCAAGGACAAAGTTCTTTGTCTCCACAGACTCCTAAGTGCACCACTCACTCTTTTTCCCTCATCAATTCTATGATTCACCTCATCTTTCATAGACCCATCCGCTGACACGTCCACTCCCAAATATCTGAATACATTCACCTCCTCCATACTCTCTCCCTCCAATCTGATATCCAATCTTTCATCACCTAATCTTTTTGTTATCCTCATAACCTTACTCTTTCCTGTATTCACCTTTAATTTTCTTCTTTTGCACACCCTACCAAATTCATCCACCAATCTCTGCAGCTTCTCTTCAGAATCTCCCAAGAGCACAGTGTCATCAGCAAACAGCAGCTGTGACAACTCCCACTTTGTGTGTGATTCTTTATCTTTTAACTCCACGCCTCTTGCCAAGACCCTCGCATTTACTTCTCTTACAACCCCATCTATAAATATATTAAACAACCACGGTGACATCACACATCCTTGTCTAAGGCCTACTTTTACTGGGAAAAAATTTCCCTCTTTCCTACATACTCTAACTTGAGCCTCACTATCCTCATAAAAACTCTTCACTGCTTTCAGTAACCTACCTCCTACACCATACACTTGCAACATCTGCCACATTGCCCCCCTATCCACCCTGTCATACGCCTTTTCCAAATCCATAAATGCCACAAAGACCTCTTTAGCCTTATCTAAATACTGTTCACTTATATGTTTCACTGTAAACACCTGGTCCACACACCCCCTACCTTTTCCTAAAGCCTCCTTGTTCATCTGCTATCCTATTCTCCGTCTTACTCTTAATTCTTTCAATTATAACTCTACCATACACTTTACCAGGTACACTCAACAGACTTATCCCCCTATAATTTTTGCACTCTCTTTTATCCCCTTTGCCTTTATACAAAGGAACTATGCATGCTCTCTGCCAATCCCTAGGTACCTTACCCTCTTCCATACATTTATTAAATAATTGCACCAACCACTCCAAAACTATATCCCCACCTGCTTTTAACATTTCTATCTTTATCCCATCAATCCCGGCTGCCTTACCCCCTTTCATTTTACCTACTGCCTCACGAACTTCCCCCACACTCACAACTGGCTCTTCCTCACTCCTACAAGATGTTATTCCTCCTTGCCCTATACACGAAATCACAGCTTCCCTATCTTCATCAACATTTAACAATTCCTCAAAATATTTCCCTCCATCTTCCCAATACCTCTAACTCTCCATTTAATAACTCTCCTCTCCTATTTTTAACTGACAAATCCATTTGTTCTCTAGGCTTTCTTAACTTGTTAATCTCACTCCAAAACTTTTTCTTATTTTCAACAAAATTTGTTGATAACATCTCACCCACTCTCTCATTTGCTCTCTTTTTACATTGCTTCACCACTCTCTTAACCTCTCTCTTTTTCTCCATATACTCTTCCCTCCTTGCATCACTTCTACTTTGTAAAAACTTCTCATATGCTAACTTTTTCTCCCTTACTACTCTCTTTACATCATCATTCCACCAATCACTCCTCTTCCCTCCTGCACCCACTTTCCTGTAACCACAAACTTCTGCTGAACACTCTAACACTACATTTTTAAACCTACCCCATACCTCTTCGACCCCATTGCCTATGCTCTCATTAGCCCATCTATCCCCCAATAGCTGTTTATATCTTACCCTAACTGCCTCCTCTTTTAGTTTATAAACCTTCACCTCTCTCTTCCCTGATGCTTCTATTCTCCTTGTATCCCATCTACCTTTTACTCTCAGTGTAGCTACAACTAGAAAGTGATCTGATATATCTGTGGCCCCTCTATAAACATGTACATCCTGAAGTCTACTCAACAGTCTTTTATCTACCAATACATAA